CCCCGCGCGGGGTCGCCGCCCCCGCCCTCCCGGCGGGCTCGCCCCGCCGCTGCCCCGGCCCGGCACCCCCCGCCGGCCCCGCCGCCTCACGCACCGCCCGCGGGCTCGCCCCGCCGCTCACCTCGCCGCCGCCGTCCCGGGCCCGCAGCTCGGCCGTCATGGGGCCGCCGGCAGCGGCGCCGTCCCGCACGGCGCACGCGCGGCCGCTGCGCCGGTTCCGGCCGCGCCGCCCGCCGGGGCCGGGCCCGCCCGTGGGCGCGTCCGTGTGTCCGTCTGTCCTTGTGTCCGTGTGCCGGTCCGTGTGTCCGTGTGTCCGTCCGTGTGCCCGTCCGTGTGCCCGTCCGTGTGCCCGTGTGCCCGTCCGTGTGCCGGTCCGTGTGTCCGTGTGTCCGTGTGCCCATCCGTGTGTCCGTGTGCCCGTCCGTGTGCCGGTCCGTGTGTCCGTGTGTCCGTGTGTCCGTCCGTGTGCCGGTCCGTGTGTCCGTGTGTCCGTGTGTCCGTCCGTGTGCCGGTCCGTGTGTCCGTGCCCGTCCGTGTGTCTGTGTGTCCGTGTGTCCGTCCGTGTGCCCGTGTGCCCGTGTGCCCGTGTACCCGTGTGCCCGTCCGTGTGTCCGGCCGTGCCCGTCCGTGTGTCCGTGTGTCCGTCCGTGTGTCCGTGTGTCCGTGTGCCCGTGTGCCCGTCCCTGTGTCCGTGTGTCTGTCCATGTGTCCGGCCGTGCCCGGCCGTGTGCCCGGCCGTGTGCCCGTCCGTGTGTCCGTCCATGTGTCCGGCAATATTTCCCCCCCGAGAAGCCTCCGATCATCGCCCCGGCCCCGAGCCCGTTCTCCCCCGTGTCCTCCCTCCCCAGCAGCCGGGAACACCGGCCCAGCCGGCTCTGCCCTGCCCGCGCCCCTCTATACCGATAAAAGTTATTTTCTTTTAATTCCAACAGTAATAAACTCCCTCCCCTGTTGTGGTCCTGCGTCTGGCACGTGTCTGGCCCGGCGCTGCCCCGCGGGAAGCTGCGAGCTGGGCTAAAGGAGGATGCCCGAGGGGACTGGGATGCTCCAGGGGTGGTGGATGCGCCCGAGGGGAAAACCGCAAGGAAAGGGTTCAAACCAACAGGGGCCTGCACCTGCTCTCTGCTCCATCCAAGCCCATGCTTTTTTGGGCCTGGGTGAATCAGCAGGAAATAGGCAGTTCTCAGATTTGCTGTGGCAAAGTGCTCTGTGTTCTCGGCACAGCCGGGATTCTGCATTTCTCTTAACACAACAATACCGAAACGGAGATGTCCCAGCAAGGGGCCCCCGGGGGCTGTGCAGGACCCAGGTGTACCTGTGCAGACCCCGCTGTCAGCAGTGCAGCCGCTGGACCTGCTGATGAGGTGTGGCTCAGGCACCTGGGCAGCTTGGCTCACCCTGATGAGCCAGCGGGGCTCAGCAGTCTTGGGGGAAACTGGTGAAAAACTGCCCTCCTGCATCACCAGGATGTGTCAGTTGTAATCGTCAGCCTGGGTTTGTCCCTGCTGGGCACTGAAGCTCCTGCATCACTGATGGCATTGGCATTTCCAGTGGAGCTGTGGCACTGCATGAGGAAGGGGATAGTAGGGTCAGACAGTGCCACTGCCGTACCCTGGTTGCCAATTCTCCCATGAAAATGCCCTTTCCCAGCTGGGTGGGCATTTCCTACACCTGGATTTGTCCTGGGCACTCCTTGCCTTTTGTTTTGGGAGAGGTGTGGGACCTCAGTGTGGACTGTTCCGAGATTGTCTGGGTTTCCTGGTTCTCACAGGTACTCCAGATGAGGAATTCGGGAGGCAAGAGGGAGGAGGTAGCAGTGTAGCTAAGGTAAAGCTGAGGAAGCTGGTGTTGGCCAATTTCCCTGATGTGCAGAGGAAAAACAAGACAATCAGTGATCCTTAAATGCAACAAAGTAAGAAATTCCACTCATTTTGGGAGCCTGTCAGGCTATTAATGGTGAGAGATAGGGAGGTAGTGCTGGGCCCTGATTTTCACTCTGGGACCCTCATGCACTGTGGAGGGAATGGTGCTCTACCCAAACTTTGTTGCTTAGGTAAGGGTCCCAAGGATTTTCCTACTTTAAAAAAACCATTAACCATAAAAATCCTCAATGTCCCTGTCACAAAGATACTCAGACACGTATTTTTAGCTCTAGGTTTGTCCAGGTTGTGTTTAATGCTTAGCAGCCTGATGAATGCTGTGATAATTAACTAGGGTGTAGAACAATTTGTTTGCAGCATTAAGTGCAGTCACAGCACTGTTAAATCCAAGATAATTTACTACGGGGGAGATTGTACACTGTCAGACAGAGCAAGCTGCAGACATGCCCTCTCCTTCCATGTCCTGAGATGGTGCTCAGCCTGTGACGCATAGCTGCTGTCCCACTCAGTTCTCAGATCTCCTTCATTAACAGCAATGGGCTCCAAATACCTCCAGGTACTTATTATTATCTGGCTTTAGTGGTAATGAAACAGTGGCAGAATATTGCAAACATCTGAAGGGTGTCTAATGAAAGAGAGGACTTGAAAAGAAAGTGCTTCTATCCCTTCTCTGGGGGATTTAAAAGCATTTGGTTTCTCCACTGGGGTGAGGATGGGCTTGGTAGCTGGCATGGGCAATTTTTGGCTTCTCCAAGAGCCATGCAGTTTTCACCATGGGACAAAGCTACCAGCATCCCTAAATTAAATTAAATTAGCCAAAGGCACCAGACTGAGCAGCTGTTCATGGCATTTGGTCTTGGAGCTGCACAAGGTGAGTGCCAGAGGAGAGATCCTGTGTGTCCCCTTCGCAGTGCGCCAGGGATGCAAGCAAGAGGACCAGTGCCCCTGGGAGCGGGGCTGTGTGGGAGCGGGGCTGCTGAGAGCCCGGCCGTGCCCGTGCTGGCAGCCCTGCCTGCCTGCGGTGTTTATTCATGTCTCGCAGCGTTAAATCATAGCAGACATGCAATTCGGGGAGCGTGAGGCTCTGTAATGGGCGGCCTCGGGCGCGTGATGGGGCCGGGGCCATCAGGCAGCTGTGCTGCCAGGGCTCCTTCCTGATGCTTTATTGTTTTTGACGCTCCAAACGCGCTCTGAAAGGCGAGCGCTGGCAGCCTGGAGGAGAGCTGCTTCCTTCTCCTGCCCGCTCCGCACCGCAAACACTACAGCTGAGGCCTCCTCCCTGTTCCCACTGCGGTCCCCAGCCTGGCTACAACACCCCGTCCTGAGCAGAGCCCAGCCATGCTCCTGCCACAGCTCCACAGCCCCCAGCACATTCCATGGCATGGGGTGGGAGCTGCCAAAGGACTATAGTGCACAAAGCTGCACACCCAGGGCTTGGGATGAGGTCAGGTTGGGGTGAGGAGGGAATGCAGAGCATCACTTGTGCCATCACACGTTGGGGATCTTGTGTTTGTGCCCCTGTGCTCCCCCCAGCCTCCGAGATTGCTGCTCTGGGCTAAATACCTGCTTGCCCAGCCAGGGAATTGGCTTGCAGTGTGGCTGCTCCAGGAGAGAGACCTGAGTGCCCATCCCTCCCAGTGCAGAAATGCTGCCATGCCTGGCTGCAGCGGAGCCTGGACAGGATGCAGGGCTGAGCTGTGGGAAGCCCCAGGCGCTGAGCACTTCGATTCCCAGAAAAGCAATTACCATGCAGCAGATTACAGGGCTAATAAAATCCCATTATGCTATTTCAGAAAGTAAATCTGATCTGGGCGCTGCCGATTGATATCAGTCCCACAAAATGTCCCGCAAGAGCCCCCTGCGTGCGCACGTAACACGAGCCTACAGTAGATCACGCTAATTAGATATCCAATAACAGGAGGGCTGATAGGAACTACATTAAAATCTCTTTAAGATGAAGATGTAAAACCCAAGGGAGAAAATTCAGAGTTAATGATGCTGCAGCAGAGGCTCCACTGGAGCAGTCCACTCCCCCTTGGCCTCATCCTGCCGGCTGCAGACGCAGGAGGCTGGAGGAGAGGGGGCAGAGCAGGGCACAGTCCCCAGCACCATGGTGGCGCTGCCCGTGATTTTCATTACCCAGATTCAATAAGGGGAGAGCGCTATGAGCTGCTGGCGCTCCCTGGGAGGTGACTTGCCAGCCACTAACGGAGCCGAGAAATCAAATTAGCCCCAGCTCTGCTCTCGCTCTCTCCCTGACACCGCTGTTGGCAGCCAACAGGGAGTTCATCAGGGCCCCGCACTAATTCTTATCTCGTTTAAGTGACTCCATGCCGGCATCTGATGCAATTTGCTCTACGCCACTGCCACAGGCTTTGGTCCCTGGCCTCTGCTTCCCCAGGATTTCCAGCAGCTGGCAGCTTCATGGGGGCATAGGCACCTGCAGCACACACAAGCAAAGCGTAGACACACAGGAATAGAGATTATAGAGACTTAGTGTCGAGGGGAAGCCCCCCTGCCAGGCAGAGGGACACTGCCTGGCCCAAGGCTATGATGCTGTGACATGGAGGGATGGATGCGCACCCTGAGCAGGGCACCCACGCATGGGTGGACACCGAGGGCCTTTTGACTCTCAGTAATACCTGACCAGGCTTTGCTTCTAGTCTTGTTTGCCCCAAGGCGTTAAATATTTTGGGAAACTGAAACCAGTAGGAAGAACTTTGTTTGGTGAAATTTATGACAAATGCAAATTTCCGCGGTGAAAACGGACTCAAGTGTAGGTGCAGGTCGGAGGGGCTGGGGGAAAGCTGCAGCCCCAGGCAGGGTTGCCAAGGACTGCCTGCACATGCCCCCACCTGCGACTGTCAGAGCCGCTGTTAGTGGGACAGACCCAGCTGCCGCAGGGTGTGAAAGGGAGCCCGGTACATCCAGAGCTCCCCTCTCCCCTGCTGGTGGAAACCCACCCTGTGCCAGTGGCTTATCCCTGGGCAGGCTCCCCTCTCCTGCCTCTCAGAGGGCGTTCTCCGTCTTTCCAACTGCTGAGGATCTCCTGCCTCAGCCCTGGCACCTGCCCTCTGCCCTCATCGTGCCCCCCACTGCACACGATGCTCGTACCCCAAAAGCCGCTTTGCCACAGGCAGAGGACGGGGAAGCTCTTTGGAAGCTGGGCGGGGGTTGGGGGGATAGCTGGGTGGGCCCCACTCCATCCTCCCGACTGAAACCTGATGCAGCGGGAGAGGCTGATCGCCAGATTAACTGGGCGTTCTCAAAAGCCCGACGGCGGGGGAAGCCATAAGGTGCCGCCTGCCTCCCTGCTCCGCTCAGTGCTCCGCCAGCAGCCGGCGGTGCAGCCAGCGCATCCATGGTGCCCGCGGCTCTCGGGGCGCTCCTGGCCCTGCTGCCGCTGGCCTCGACGCTGCAGAGCCCAGGTAAGGTGAGGGACCCGCGGGCAGGGCTGGGGAGCCGAGGCGGAGCGGGGTGCTCCTGGCACGGAGCAGCACCTTCCCAGAGCCCGAGCCGCGCTGAGCGCCAGGCAAGGGCTGCTCTTCAGGGAAACCTTCGTGCTGTTGGGAAGTGACTTACCTGGGAGAGGCTGGAGCGTGGCAGAGCTCCGGTGCAGAGCCTGGAAGCTCACCCTGCCCGGGTAACGCTGGCAGCAGGGCAATGCAGCCTTAGAACCCAGCTCTACTCTGTGGCGTCTTGTGGCACTCTGGAGCTGCGCAGAAAACCAGCCCTGGGGACAGAGAGAGACATGGGGGTCTCCTGCCTGCACTCCACTGCCTGAGAGATGCTGCCTGAGCCCCCTGCCTGATGAAGGGCTTTCTCCAATATAATGTTTAGTTCCTCATAACCTAGAGCTGGGTTTTGGGCAGGATGCTGTGCCTATAGTTTGTAATTGTAGCTCTGCACAGTGCAAAATTGACAGCCAACATATTTCCTTGTTATTCCATTATTATTTTCTCATCTAATGTTCCTGAGAAATAGTGCAAAAATCCTTGAGCTGTTTTGCACCAGCCCAGCCGAAAGTGTTCAGCAAGCTGTTGACTCAAATCTCTGGATAGGTCATGTAGCTCCTGTCACCCAACTCCCAAATCTGATCCCACTGTTAGCACATCTAAGGTTGCAGAAAAGGAGCAGGAGCAGTAATACGCTCACCCTGGCAATGCTGGCCAGGAGGCAGGAAGGGCTGTGCAGACAGATCCCCATGTGCTAGGGCTGTGCCAGGATTGTGCCGAGTTGCACCAGGTGAGTTGCTGGCATACCCGTGGCACAGATTTGGGCTGGGCAGGCCAGCCTGGTGTCTGGAGCAGAGGCAAAGAGCATCTGAGGTGAACCCAGCCCAGTTCTCCCTCTGCAAAGCCATTTCCCTGCTGCCAAAGCATCCCTCAGCCCATGGCCCAGCCCAGGGTGATGGCAGCCGCTGCCGCAGTGTGAGCACCTCCCTCGCTGCCTCCCTTTCTCCCTGTGCTGAGCAGGTGCCCAGCGCGGGGGCCGGGTGCCGGAGCCCTCCGAGCCCGCCCTGCGCCGCCTGTCCCACTACCTGCTGGCCCACTACCAGAAGGGCGCCCGGCCTGTGCGGGACTGGCGAACGACCACTAATGTGGCCATCGACCTCATGGTCTATGCCATCCTCAGCGTGGTGAGTCCTCTGCTCCCATTCCGCGTGTGGCCGCAGGGGGGGAATGGTGCCTGGCATGCAACAGCCTTCCAGCATGCTCTGCCCATCTTCCGCAGTGTCTGTGCCCCTGTTCTGACACTGTTCTCATCTTCACAGGATGAGAAGAACCAGGTGCTGACCACTTACATCTGGTACAGGCAGGTGAGCAGCCACAAAACCTTGCCCCTTCCTTGCTGGCCCCCCTTGGGGCCAGGCGCCCCCAAACCCCCATGTTTTCCTGTGAGAGCAGTGTGCAGAGCTGCAGGAGAGCAGTGGGGGGAAGCACATCCTGGGGACTGGTGAGACCTCTGTAGCACATGAACCTCAAGGCTCAGCTTTCATGCTCCCTGTTTTGCACTGCTGGGTGTTGTGCAAGCTGAAGGATAAGTCTTCCCTCCCTCCTATGGCTCGGAAGCTTGCTTGGTGCTAGGCTGGGGTCTGTGTGCTGGCAGAGTGGAAGGACTTCAGCCACCAAGTCCCCTCTCCATTGTCCCCAGCACTGGACAGATGAGTTCCTCAAGTGGGACCCAGCTCGCTTCGACAACCTGACGCAGATCTCCCTCCCTGTGGAGAGCATCTGGGTGCCCGACATCCTCATCAATGAGTTGTGAGTGCAGCCGAAGTCTCGAGGGAGATGGGCTGGGACTGCAACTCTGCACCCACCATGGGCACGTACTGTCCCATGCTTTGTATTCCTGGCACAGAGCTGGCAGCCTCCCCGCATCAGGGAGCTGCAGATGGGGATTGGCTCTGCAGTTGGGCCATTTCCAATGCTGGCTAACCACAACCATGGGTAATTACCCTCACTGTGCTGGGGGTGAGATCCAGATATCAGGAGAAAGGCTTTGTGAAGACAGTACAATGCCAGGGCAGCTGCAGAGCTGCTGGCCCTTCCCATGGAGCTATCTGGTGTCCTTCCCACTCCGTGGGGATTTAAGGTGCTCCCAGTGCCTCCTGAGGGCTCTGGGAGAAGGCAGCAGTCTGGGCAGTGCAGAGGTGATGTGAGGCAGAAATGCCTGCAAGGGTATTACCAAAAAAAGCAGAACAGGAGGCAAATCCCTGGTTCGTGGGCTGTTCTCCCCTGAAATGCTACTTGGGAGAAGGAATCCCTACCCAGAGCGCTCTCCAGCCCACATCTCTGTCCCTCATGTCCCTCAGTGTGGATGTTGGAAAGTCCCCACACGTCCCCTACGTTTACGTCAGCCATCACGGGGAGGTGCAGAACCTCAAACCCATCCAGGTGATGACTGCCTGCAGCCTGGACATCTACAACTTCCCCTTCGACGTCCAGAACTGCTCTCTCACCTTCACCAGCTGGCTGCACCACAGTGAGTGCCGGGCCGCCCCCGCTGGGGTCCCGTGGGAGCGGACAGGAGCTCTGCCGGGCCGGAGCTCCGCGCAGAAGGCGGCTCGTCCCTCTAGATGGCCCCAGCGGATCGGGGAAGCGTGCAGGGAGGGCAGCGCGCTGCGGAGTGCCCGCAGCTGCCTTCGCTTTGGGCGGGGACCCCAGCCCTCACCTCTCCTCCGCCCCCAGTTCGTGACATCAACCTCTCGCTGTGGCGGCAGCCGGAGCTCGTCAAGTTCGACCGAAGTGTCTTCATGAACCAGGGCGAGTGGGAGCTGCTCTACGTCCTCACCCACTTCCAGGAGTTCAGCGTCAAGAGCAGTGACAGCTACGCTGAGATGAAGTTCTATGTAAGAGCCTTTGGCCACCGCCTTTCCCGGGGATGTGGCACGAGGGAAGGGACTTGCCCCCTCCCTGTCCCTGCTCTGTGCTGCAGCTCCTGCCTGGTGGGAGGCTCCTGCTAATGAGCCCTTCCTCTGGCTCACCTTAGTGACCCCCCGCCATCCTCACCTGCCTTGGCAAAGAGTCACACCAGCTGAAGGCCTCATTTCAGCCCTTCACAGCCTTTTCTGCCTCTGTCCTGCAGGTAGTCATCCGGAGACGCCCCCTCTTCTACACCGTCAGCCTGCTGCTCCCCAGCATCTTCCTGATGCTTATGGACATTGTGGGCTTCTACCTACCTCCCCACAGTGGTGAGAGGGTCTCTTTCAAGATCACTCTCCTGCTGGGCTACTCGGTTTTCCTCATTATTGTATCCGACACATTGCCAGCTACTGCCGTCGGCACGCCATTGATAGGTATGGTGGTTCTCCTGTCCAGCTCTCACGGCTGTCGTGGGCAGAGACCACAGGGCCCTGAGGGTTGAGCAGGGATGATTTGGTCTGTGCATGAGCCTTTGCAGGTCACTCACCTCACTGATGACTCTACAGGCATCTACTTTGTGGTGTGCATGGCACTGCTCGTCATCAGCCTGACAGAGACCATCCTGATTGTGCGCCTGGTGCACAAGCAAGACCTGCAACCCCACGTCCCTGAGTGGGTGAAACACCTGCTGCTGGAAAGAGCCACCATCCTCCTCTGTATCCGGGACAGGAAGAAATTCAGCCAAAGCAGGATGCAAAACTTGGACACCTCCAGGCAGGTGGAGAACAATGACAGCACAGGTAAGGGTTGCACAGAGAGGGCCTGTGGGAACTAAAGGAGTCTAGGTGCTCTGTAGCCATCTACACCTACATAGCCATTCTTTGTATGGTGAACTGGGTGCCTAGCTCACCCTCACAAATCCCAGTTCCCTGTCTAAATAGGTTTTTCACATTTGCTTCTTTTGATCCCTCAGCCAAGCCGACCCCCTATGTCTGTGAGGGTCCCTGGGAGTGCGGGGCAGTGGGGAGCACAAGGTCTGCACTGGCCTTTGCTGGCCAGACAGAGGGCTCAGCAGCACTGCAGGAGATCCTGCGTGAGACCACGGCTATCCGCCAGCTCCTGGAAAAACGGGAGGAATTCCGCGATGCCGCCCGTGAGTGGCTGCAAGTGGGCTACGTGTTGGATGTCCTGCTGTTCCGGGTGTACTTGGCAGCCGTTCTGGCTTACAGCATTACACTGGGCACCCTCTGGTCGGTGTGGAGGGACGCCTGAGCAGTGCCCGTTGTTCGGGGCGGGAGATGGGGGACCTCACTCCGGCGGGTTCTCCTTGGCTCTGGGACTCTCCAGTGTCTGTCGACCCCGGCGGGCGCATCCCTCACGTCCCTCAGCTCCGCAGCGGGAAGGCGGAGCTGAGCAGGAGCCCCCAGGACCCCATGACCCTGCCCAAACCTCTCTCCACGCTTCCCCTGCCAACTCCGGGAGCGCCCCCGGCCCGGCCGGGCACGGCGGCGGCTTCAGCACCGCGGACAGCGGCCCCGCGCCCGGCCCGGCCGCCTCCCGCCCCGGGTCCCCCGGCACCGGCTGGGTCCCCGCTGCCCCGGGGGATCCCCACCGCCCCGGGGTCCCCCGGCACCGGCTGGGTCCCCGCTGCCCCGGGGGATCCCCACCGCCCCGGGGTCCCCCGGCACCGGCTGGGTCCCCGCTGCCCCGGGGGATCCCCACCGCCCCGGGGTCCCGCTGTCCTCGGCTCCCCTACCCCTCATCCCGGCTGCTGCCCTTGGATCCTGCCCGGGCCCCGGGCACGCTTGCCCAGCAGATCCCCACCGTGCTTGTGCTCAGCAGTTTTAGCAAAGCCGGAGAGACTCTGGGTCCGGCCGCGGCCAAACCGGGATGGCAACGGGACTGACTCCGTGGGCACAGGGTGCTGGGCAGGATTGCCACCACAGCTGCAGTAGGTGCCCAGCTCCCGCTGTCATCTGTCCCTGCAAGGGCAGAGGCACAAGGAGAAGAGAAGAGCAAAGTGCTGCAGATGCCATGAGGGCCCATTCCATGTTCTAGGAGCATCTCTGCATATGCAGGTGATGGGGGTGGGCTGACACCACCTGGCTCTCATATAACTGCCCTCAAACCCACCAGCCCCAGAGCAAGACTCCACTCACCGTCTCAGAGCCATCACCTGCAGGAAAACTTACCTCTGAGTGATGGGGGCTGAGGACGGGTGGAACGGGCTCCTGCCAGCACTGGCCCGCACTAATGCGCTGATGGTCTGTAAGTGGCTGCCTATTGATGAGGTGTCCAGTTAAAGAGTTCGTGAGACACTAAATCAGCCCATTGATCCTGCCGAGATCGATGGTGCTACAGACCTGATCAGTGCAGCGGGCAATTAACACCCTCTGGAATGAGCTGCCTTCGTGTAACATCAAACGCTCCAACAGACAAATCCAATGGGGCCATTGACCCAGGTGTGCGATGCCACCCAGCCCATGTATTTGATGAGGGTACTGGGCAGCAAGACTCCTGAGCCAGCCTTGCCATCTCTCTCCTGCTCACCGTGACCCTGATGTCCCCCAAGGCTGCACTGCAAGATGCTCATCTGTGCTGCCGTATCCCATTGGATGTTTTGGTCCTTGTCCTCCCTGTGCTAGGAAGCCATCATGCACCCAACCTAACCCCTTCAAGAAGCTCAGCAGTCCTTTTCCCTGGAAGGACAGGCTGCCTATCCTGGAGGAAAGATTGATTCTCCCCTGCCCTCTTGCTACTTTGGGAAGTGCTGCATGTAGGAAAAAGTTCCAGGCATCTGAGAGAAGCCTGGATTTTCCTCTTAAAAAAAAAAAAAAATCAATAAATCTGAATCTAATCTCCTAATAAAGGTTTAATGAGGACATAATGTTGATGGAACAGAACATTGTTGCAGCATAATCGCTCCCAGCTGCTGTGCGAGTGTGCACACAAAGGCCCGGTCCTACCGCGATTTCCCCGTTATTGTAACAACGCCTTTGTGCCAGGCTGAACGCCAGCTTTGCCTCCCTTCTCGTGGGGTGCTGCAGCCTGCAGGTTGCTCACAGCAGGACCACCTCTGCTTGCCCAAACCTGGACCAAAGCTCCCCACCACTTGCCCTGGGGGAGGCAGGAGCACCATTAGGACCTTGGAATGGACATGCAGCCCCTCAAACCTGCTGGGAAGTGCTGGGGCAGTGTCAAGGCTGGCCTTGAGACAGGCACATGCCATCCATCCCTGGGAAAAACTAAATGATGCTCTGCCCTGGGTGACTCCAGCCGTGCTGTAGGAATGTCCAGTGGCATCACGGGACCACGGCTGGCAGCGGGCAGCACCGGGCACAGGCAGGGCTGGGGGTGCTGGCAGCACCCGCCTGGCCCAGCTCAGCGCGCGGTGCTGTGCGGTTTGCCACAGCACAAAAGGAGAGCGGGCGCTGCCGTTAATGTAGTCAGTAAATAAATAAAGGAGGGCTTAAGCTTAGTGTACAGCAATCAGTCGGGAACTACAGGATAATTAACGCAGCGGGGGGCCGGACGGCTCTGCAGGCAGGTTTAAATGAACGAGTTCACTTTCATTGAGGCAAACTTGCTCTGCTCCCTGGTGAGCCACATGGGCAGGCAGCAGCACAGGCAGTGTGCTGTGGATGCTCCCTGCCCATGGGAACACTGACATTCCAGGGAGACCCCCACCCACCGGGGTTGGTTTAGGGATAGGACCTCCTCAATTTCCCCCTCAGAGCAGGCATCCCCAAACTCACCACTGTGGGTACCCTCACGGCCCACCCCAAGCTGGTGGAATGCATACTTCCTCCACCTCCGCCTATTCCTCCTCCTCCTCCTCTTGATGGGCACAGGAATGGGAGACAGCAGGCTGAGACAACAGAATTAACTTTATTGGTTGTTCTTTTGTTTTCTAACTGCAGATTCAAGGTATACAACTGAACATTGCTATTTTCCTTATGAGACTTATAAATAAAAATACAAAAAATGTTCACTACAAAAAAATCTACCGTTAGTAGGATGTAAAAAATATTCTCTTTGCTATAGAAGGCACGAACTTCACTTAGTGACACATGGAGAGAAAAAAACCTGCAGCAGTATATTCTTCTTTTTTTTTTCGTCTTTTTTTTTTTTTTCCTCTGTCAGAAACACTGAAGTCTTACAAAGAAATGCATCTGAATCTACACAGGACGAAGGCAGATGCGGAGAGCTGCAACTAGGAGACACCACAACTGGTTTTTTTTTTTTCTTTTTCTTTATTTTTCAGGAAACCTTTAGCTAACGGCATCTGTGGCTAGAGGACAGAAAGAGGACTCGCAAGCAGAACCGCAGGGGAGCGAACGGTGAGACAGGAAAAGTCATACAAAAAATAGGAGCCAATAGATACTCTGAGAAAACCAAAGGGGAACTTGGGCACCTTCTGCGCCCGGGCTCAGAGAGGTGCTGAGGTAGACGGAACGAGGACAGCGACGGACCCGAACCACGAGCAGCAACACAGAGCAACGGGACGGGCAGGCGGGCGCTCACGACACTGACAGCAAGCCAGGGGAGAGGGAGCCCGGGACCACGGGGCCCCGTGCGGCGCTTGGTCCTCACTGCTATGATACACATATATATACTTACATATATATATATGGAGGGGTGGCAGGGGCTGCGCCACAGCCAACAGCGTGGGGACGTGAACCCGGGATACAGCAGCATCGCGCCAATGCTGACCCCAACACTGTTGCAGTGGGGGCTGTGTCTCTGAGGGAGAGGGACGGTGGGATGGAAGGGGAGGTTAAAGCAAAAAAAAAAAGCCACATGAGCTCGGCCACGTGCTCCATGGCACCTGTGTCTGGCAGCGCCAGGACACCACGGGGACCTGCCGTGCACACGCCAGAAATTGCAGCAACTTTCTGTGTGAAAGAACTGTTTTCTTTTTTTTTAAATATTTTTTCTGTTTTTTTCTTAGGCACAACAATGAAACGAGCCGTTCTCCACAGTCACATCCCGGATTGTACAGCAGCGGTGTCCACCCCGCGCAGAGCAGCAACGGTCCCACGCGCAGAGGCACACGCACGGGCAAAGTCGGACTGGGGCACGAGGGAGGATGGTGCTCCCACAGCCATATCCCTGCTTGGCACCAGGAGAGGTGGGAAGGGCACCCCAAACCCAGAGGGGCCATCAGTGTCCCTCCAAACTGTATCCAGACACTGTCCCACTCCCCCCCCCCCCCAGCTCCTTTTCTCCCCTTTCACCCAAACGCAGCAAAACGACAAAAAAAGAACCGTGGGATGGAACCACCAAGCCCGCGGCTGCGCAGGAGAAACACAACAAAAACAAACACAAGAGGTAGCTTCAGAACCAACACCCCCAGCCCCATGGGGCCAGGCAAAAAATACCAGTTTTGGTAAGGATAATGCACAACAGGAGGCGAGCAGGGACACCAGTGCCCCACCACCTCTCCACCACCAATGCTGGGCACGTGGCTGGTGCACCTCAGCCATGCCACCCCCTGTCCCTCCCAAATCAATAAAAGCTCATGAGGTCACAAAAAAATGAGGTAATTTCAAGTAAAATGTGCTAAATGTGGAAATATTCCAAAAGAAAGTCAAAAAAACCCAAACAAAAAGCAAAAAAAGCGGCGAACAAAGCCGCCTGCGGTGGGGCACCCCTTACTTGTGGGCTCCTGAGGCTGAGGGCTGGGCAAAAAACCCCACACTTGGCACCTTCCAGGTGCCCCAAATCAGCAGAAGAAAAGAGGATCCCTGCATTCGGAGTGATGCCACGTGCTAACAGCTCCAACACTGGCACTGACTGCACATCACCAAACCAACTGCATCTCCCCACGGGGGCTTCACCCTTGCCCCAGGAAGGCAGGGAAGGAGGGAGAAATGCATAGAGAGCTCTTTGGTCATGAGAAGAGCAGCAGCCTCCTGTGCCCCTGAGCCCACCTGGACACCAGGCAACACCTCAAGGCAGCCTGGCTCACAGCTGGCTCCCAAACACCCTCCTCTGTCCCAAACACCCTCCTCTGGCCAGGATCCCCCCAGGACACTCTTGCCAAAGCACTTGTGGCTCACAGGGCACTGTGCTCTCCTGCCTGCGATGCCACAGCCTGGGAGCATGAGAACCTGCCAGAATGGGGCCCAAGACCCACATGGGAGCTCAGGTCCTCTGCAGGGCATCCACGGCAGGGTCTGTGCAGTGACAGGACGCCAGGAATTAAAGCCTTCCCAGAGCACTAGCTGCGCACACACTTTCAGGGAAGCGCCTCTTTCCTACATGGTCTTCCCAGCAGCACCAGTGGCCAATGCCAAGGGTGACGGAGGGCCTGCGGGGGGTTGCAAAGGGTGAAATCTGCCCTGCAGCAAGGGTGAAAGGGCAGCAGGAGCACGAGCAGCTGGGACAGCAGTGTGGATGGGGCTGGAGAAGGGGCCGGTGCATCCCTCGGTCCGGCATGAGCTGCAGGATCCTTCTGGCGAGAAGAAACAAATGAGAACTGAAAACAAACAAGGCCATGGATGCTGCGGGTTTGGTGGGATTTTTTTGCCCAGTCATCTGCCCTGTTGCCCCTCTGCCTCCTCCCTTAGACGTAGCAGAGGTAGAGATAGGTCTTCTCTATCCGCCAGTCAGTGGGGATCTCCTCTGGTTTGTGGCCCTTCATGTGCTTCTGCATGGCAGAGAGGCTGGGGCAGTACTCCAGGCAGATGGTGCACTGGTAAGGGGAAGCGCCATTGTGGGTCCGAAGGTGTTTGATCATGGCCGAGTAGTCCCGGGAGCGCTGGTGGCACAGCTTACACTCGAAGGGCTTCTCACCTGTGGGATACAGGGGTGTCAGTGGGGGCTCGGGGCCTCCAGGTGACAATCAACTGCCTGGCATCGACACTTTGCAGCGGGCACAGCCAATACCCAAGCAATGAACAACAGAACCAATGTGACTATCGATCCCTATTTACTATAATTACACGCCGGCGCATCCGGGGCTCATTATCTCCGGCTGCCCCCCCGATCCACGTGCCAGCCTTTCTGCCGGGGACCGGTCTGTCCTTGCCAGCCTCACCACAGACACCCCAGCATGTACCTGTGTGGACTCGGTAGTGGGTCTCCAGCTGGTGCTTCAGGCTGAACTTCTTGCCACAGCCGTTGCACTCGTAGGGCTTCTCACCGGTGTGGATGCGCTTGTGGCCCTTCAGCGTGCTCTCGTCCCGGAAGCAGCTGCCGCAGAACTCGCACTCGTAGGGGTGGTCGCCTGCAAGCACATGCCGGGGTCAGGGCTGCCGTGACTGCTGTGCCACACCGAAACCAGCTCCCCAGCCTGTGTACCCCGGGCAGCCATCCCGGGGACAGAGCGTCCCACTGTCCCCAGTGTCGTGCGCTGGTCCCTTCATGCACAGGCCTTCGTCTACAGAGGGGATGCTCGGGTCCGCGGCACAGTAGAGAGACTGGAGTGAGCTGCAACCCTCTGCCACCAATTTCCAGGTTTTTCACCCAGCAGCACCAGCACAGCCCCAGCCCTGGGCATCTCTCACACTCTAGACCAGGCGGCTGATAAATGAACTCTGGTTTGGCACCAAAGGCAGAATGATTTGAAGGAAAGGTGAGGGCTCCAGCTACTTATTTATTACAGCCGCGAAAGCAAGGACAATAAAGATAGATTGATCGTCCGAGACTTTGTTCATGAATATTTAAATAATACTGATTTGTCTTGTCACTGTAATTACAATTTCTCTGTGCCGCATATCCTACAAGCACAGTTTATGGTAAAGAATGGCGAACTGTATTTCACTTGTCCTGCTGCAGATGTGCGGAGCTGCCAAGCGTGTAATGTTCCCCGCATTTCATACATTTTCTTCAGCTGTGAAGGCTTAAGTCATCCACAATGACCTACGTTTTTTCATTATCCC